TGTATGAAGGCTGACTGCATAGAGTATGTCCGCAGTTGTAAAGTCTGTCATTGAAACAAGACTACTACGCGAGCCCTCTTGATCTTCTCAGACCCTTGCCTATTCCTGATAGACCCGGAGATTATGTGTCCATTGACTTTATGGATTCTCAGGTCAAGAGTAGGCATGGCAAAAGTCAAGTCGTGGTCATAGTCGATAGATTTAGCAAATATGCAGTTTTTGTTCCTTTGCCTACAGAGGCACGTACAGACTTAGTAGCATAAGTTTTTCGACCATTGGGTCAGTGAGCATGGTATACCACTGTCGATAGTTAGTAACAAGGATACCAGATTCACTAGTCAGAACTGGCAGGAACTGATGAAAGTTTATGGCTCAAAGTTGCTGAATGTCATCAGGTCGTCATCCTGAGACTAACGGCCAGACTGGACAGATGAACAAGCTCTTGCGGCAAGTTCTTAGAATGTACATTAGGCCCGATCAGGTCAACTAGGATGAGATGCTCCCAAAGGTAGTCGGTGCCTACAATAATAGCGTGCACTTGTCTACGTGTCGCACTCCAAACGAACTGCACAAGTCCTTTAGACCACACAGACCGTTCGAGGGACTTAACCGGGATCAGATTCAGAGGCTACCACCCAGTACACGAGGGTTTGCGATACAGCACGAGCAAGAGATAGCTACCGTTGTTGACAACCTCAGGAAAGCCCAGCATAGAATGATAGAGCAAGCTAACAAGCACCGTCGCCCCTCACAGTTTCAAGTAGGCGACTTAGTTTGGGTCAAGTCAAAAGATTTTGGCCCTGAGGAAAACATCTCACAAAAGTTGTTGTCTGCGTATAGAGGACTGTGGCCAGTCCTAGAAGTCAACGGCGGAGAAGATGGGCCGTCCTATACTATTGAGATCTCAGCACACCTCCACACCTACCCAGTGTTCCATGGATCAAAGTTGTTACCTTGCGTCACAAGCCAACAGTTCCCATCACGCAGATCTATGATTCCTCCATACATGGATGGAAGATATGACATTGAAGGGATAGTAGGTGAGGATGTCTTCAGGACAGGAGGTAGAGGTTGTCCCCAGAAACAGTACAAAGTCAGATTTGCCTATCAAGAGCCATAAGATGACCACTGGTTCACGCAAACAGAACTTCTAGAGACAGCTCCCGATATAGTACGAGCCTACGAAAGAGATAAGAAGGGTAAAGGTCCTACCTTAGACTGAAACATTCTCGGAAGACCTCGAATTTAGGCCGGCGAGAGTGAAACGGTTTTCACCTTTCTGCAGTCACACATGCGGGCCCTAGAGTTCGATCCCCAGACCTCACTTTGCCCATGTACAGTATCGAGCCGACACGAGTGTTTGAACCCGTGACCTGTGTTTTGGTAGTTGTTTGTCACCTGTCGTAGGTCTGTGTAGTGGTAGGGGTTCGATCTGTAGGTCTGTCGAGTAGGAGTCCCAGCTTTGTAGAGGTCATAGCTGTAGGTATTCTGAAAGGTCAAGGTCGTAGCTGCTACAGTCCTGAAAGGTCAAGGTCGTAGCTGCTTCAGTATCCGGAAGGCCAAGTCCACAGACTTCCGGAAGGTTCGGAAGTGGCCTTTCGAAGTGTCTCACGTTAGTCAGAGGCAAGTGGGCAAGTGGTGAGCCCAACTGCACTACGTCGGCAGTGCGACTGCATCGAGTTGGCAGTGCAAACCCATGCAGTCGGCGGTACCGGTCCCGGTCAGTCAAGAGTCCAGTCAAGCAAGTACCGTGTGGGACTGTGTACACCAAGGGCCTGGGAAAGGGGCAGACCAATGAGTTACAGAAGTATAAATCAAGAGGCAGCGCCCAGCCATTCATTCATTCGCTGCGTAAGCCATGTGGAAGTGCTGCTACAGCGTCTTGTGCGAAGGTGGCCTGCAGGTTGCCCGAAGACGAAGTGGGCTGAAGGGATATCGTAGCGCTAGTCAGTAGTGGTAGTGCGGCCATAGCCACTGTAGGAGGAAGTTAGACGTAGTGTACACGTGTGGTGGTATTCAGGGTGATCCAGAGTGAGCGTGTGTGAACAGTGGGGTTGGACACTGTGACGAAGGTTGGGATGTTCAGGCGCTGATGCGCCATAACCTGTTGAAGAGAACTTGCATCCGAACTGTGTTCTTGATTTCCATATCTCTAAGCTTTGAGTGGGCGCCCTGCGCCAGTGAGAATTTCCATCTGTTTGCATGTGTGCGAAGTGGAAAGAAAGCGAGCCTGATTGCATGTATTTGTCCAATTCTGCAGGATCTGAACTCGTGATCTCTTCATTGACAGTTACACGTGTGTAGTACCATTCAGCCACATTCCGGACTGAGGGCGTACTCACACTAGCAGTATCTCAAATGTATCTGACCGCATTCATGCCATACCTGGATGTATCTGGCCACAGTTTACGTAGTAGTGTGAGTCTGCCATGAGTGCGGCTTCCATTTCCGGGTCTCCACAACTTTACATCGTACACCCACCCAATCCCCCCACTCCATCCCCACCCCCCCCAAATAAAGAAAGAAAAAAAAAAATTGCACTTCCTCATGGCAATCAGTGCGCCAAGCAGCCACAGCCAATCAGACAGCCCCAGACGTATTGACTAGAAAATCCTCGAGCAAAGAGGATTTGATTAACCACTAGTACCTTTCCCGCGTGCGAAAATAACTCCTAAAGATACGGAGGCCGGGCCCGACGACGACTGCCATTGATAAATCTGATCGGCGGCCATCGTTTCGTTTCGGAGGTTTCGGCCTCCGAAAAGGTCGGCGGCCCACCGGAGGCCCGCTATTTTCCCACGTGCCAAAGGTACTAGTGGTCTGAATCTGGACATGTTCTCAGCAGAGATGCAGAAAAGCAGTTCAATCTCGATTTCCTGCACCTCTCCACAAACACTTAAGAGATTCAGGCATTTCATCCGGATCCTCTTTGCTACCGTCCTCCCCCGAACACAATGCACCCTCATTTTGGCTGTATCTGGCCAGAAATATAACTTGTATACATTCATTTTAAGGGTGCGTTAGCGTTATGTTCGGGGGAAGACGGTAGTTGGACCTGGGGTCCACAACGCAAGCAATCAACGACAGGCAGCAGGGTTCCAAGCTGGCAATGTGGAAGAGATCAAGCAGCAGAGATTAAAAAGAAGATAATAGCTGACCTGTTCCTCTGCAGTCATCCACTCAGGCACCTCCACTTCCCACGGGTTGATTCGGCCCTTTCGCATCGTCGGTCCCCTGTGTTCCCTCCCCCCTCCCCCTCCTCCTCCTCCTCCTCCTCCCCATTGAGACGCTGCTTGGAGGTTTCTCTGCGCGTAATCGTACATCGCCCGTTTCGTGGGATCGGACAAGACCTCGTAAGCTTTCTGAATTTCGATGAACATTCTCGCACAGTGCACTGAATCTTCATCTCTGCACACATCTGGATGGTATTTTCTTGCCAGCTGTCGATACGCGGCCTTCACCTCCGCCAATGACACATTGGCCTCGACTCCCAAGATCGAATAGAACGACTGACGCTGATGCTGATGATGCTCATGGTGCCCAGGTTGCTTATTGCGCCATGCTCCGGTCTTCTGCCCCTCCTCCTCCTCCTCCTCCCTATCGCCCTCGCGATGCCATTGCCCCGCATGCTGATCTTGCTGCCCTGCATGGGACGACCTGAAGTTGCCACTCTCACTCTCCTTCCCGCCATAATCGCTGTCACTCTCCTTCCGGCCATAATCGCTGTCACTCTCCTTCCCGCCAAATTCCTGATGATGAGGATGAGGATGATGACGGTGTTGTTGTTGATCATATTGGTGATGATGATGATGATGATGATTATGATGGTGTTGTTGACCATATTGATGATGATGATGATGATGCTGATGATCAGGGGAACTATTCTCAGTTTCCCCGCCAACACGATCTTTCTCTCTTTTTGTCCAGGAAGCAGAGGTGGAAGGGGAGGAGGTAGAAGAAGAAGAGTGGGAGGAGGAGGAGGGGGAGGAGGAGGAGGGGGAGGGGGAGGAGGGACTATCCACCTCCTCCTGGTCCAGATCCACCTCGATCTCCGCCTCACCAGTTTGCTGCACGTGGCACCATGGCGCCCAACGTGTTGTTCGCCGCCAGCGAAGAAGCCCGACGAGGTCGCACGTGGCACCATGTCGCCGCTGGCACCCTGTCGGCGCAACTTGGCGCGAAACTTGCCGCGGCCGCGACGACGACGCCAAGCGGCGGAGCTCGCCGCGTCCCGACGTCGCAGCCGCAGCAACAGATCTTATCGTCGGGAGCCCGAGGAGGTCGGCACCAGAGCCACGTGGCCGGCCGTGCAAGCCTCCTCCCACTTGAAACTCCAACCGTATCGACGTCGTGCAGAAGACATCCCTTGCAGCGCATTCCGCTGAGATCGTCCTTTTGCGATCGCCACGTGGACACTCAGCCGTCGTTGTGTTCCGACACTCACACACCCCGACCGCTGAGCTAGACGGTCGGCCGATCGGACGACCGCTTTTCCCATGTGGCGGCCATCTCTCGCTCGGACCGGTATCCCAACACTCACACACCGCGACCGCTGAGCTGCTGGACGGTGGGCCGATCGGACGACCGCTTTTCTCCCCCTCGGATTCCCCCGATCGGCGGGCGAACGCCAGCTCTCCACACCCCACAGTCCAAAGCGCGCCAAATATGTCGACGCCGCTCGCTCCACTGACGGTTCCCAAAATTACGGATCTCCATGCCCTGATTACGTGGCCGCATAACTTCCCCTCTTCCCCCCAAGTAATACGGCAAGAAGAAGAGGGAGAAAGCCGAGGAGGAGGAGGAGGCGAAGATCGCGGAGGAGATGGAGGAGGAGGAGGAGGAGGAGGAGGAGGAGGAGGAGGAGGAGTAGGAGGAGGAGGAGGGGCCAAGCATTGAATGCACAGACGTCGGCCACGTGGCGCAGAACGGGGACTTCTAGTAAGTGGCGGCGGCGGGCGCGCCCCCGCCGCCGCCGTTTTCGACAGTTTCGCGGACTCTGAGCGGAAAGGCGGGGAAAGGATTTGGTGGTCCTCTGCCAAGCTCAGCCTAACTCCTGGAGGGTAGACGTAATAGGATCTCATCTGATCTGATACCAGCAGCGAGAACAAACAGAATGCGATGATTTCTTTTTTTTTTTTTTATTATTTTTTAATTACCGCTGTTGACGATGATAGCAGGTGGAGATGGAATAATTGCAGGACAAGAGGGCGTGACACGTGGCAACTGACAGCGGTGCATCTGGATGATTGACACGTGGCATGCATTTGGATGATTGACACGTGGCATGCGTCGGATGATTGACACGTGGCATGCGTTGGATGATTGACACGTGGTAACTGACAGCGGTGGATTAGAGGAGGAGATGATCTGGACATGACACGTGGCAATTAATCTGCGGCTCTTGATGATTGGCGGTTGCATGGCTTGGCGCTGTTCATGGCCTGTCTCTTATACACATCTAGATGTGTATAAGCGACACCCTCCTCTATGTGCATCCGTTGGTGTGATCTCGAGAGAGAGAGCGACAACTCGATTTTTTGCCAATGGGGGACAAGGTCGTTGTCATCCTTAGACTGTCGACAAAAAAAATTCGGTGGAAGATTTACATTCCAAATCGTGAAATGCTCACGCACTGCAATAAAAGATATGGAAAAAAACAACAACAAAAAAAAAACGAATATAGGTGATGCTCGAAAAAAAAAGGCCGTCAACGTGATGGCCACACTCAACAGAGAAGGAAATAACCTAATATTAAATGAATGATATAAATGTGGTAGAGGCGCTCTACAATAAGAATAAGAACTGTCCGTGAGGATCAAGGAGATCGACTGCTCGATTTGAGTTCCAGGCTGGATACTGCCCCCCTTCTGTTATTTCGCTATTCTTTCCTCTTATTTGGCTTTCTTACCCACCTCCCTTCCTTCGGGGGGGGGGGGGGGGGGGGGGGGGGGGGGGGGGGGGGGAGTTGGAAGAAAGGCTGTCCGATCGTCCTGAAGAGAACACACACAGCTTGTGTCGAACACAAAGGAAAAAAGGGGGGGGGGGGGGGTCATTTGAGCCCCACCCCTTTTCTGGTGTTCTCTCCGAATCTCTCTTCTCAAGACTTGTGGACGGTAATTAGATCTGGTCCTTCAGGACATCCGTGAAAATTGGAACCATACAGAGAGAGAGAAGATTAGCATGCCCCCTGCGCGAAAAGGATGACACGCATAAATCGAGAAATGGTCCAAATTATTAAAAAAAAAAAAAAAGAAGAAGAAGATCTGTCGAAAAGTTGGAACTGTTTTTTTTCTTTTTTCTTTTTTTTCCCCCCCTCTCTTTGCGTTCGAGGCTGACGTAAATAAATCAAGAACCTGTCCTAAAAAAAGAAAACATTAAAAATAATAAGGAAATATTAAATCTGCTGAATAAAGTGGGACGTGAGGTATGACGAGAAGAAATCGCCGAAGTTTGCGATTTGCTTTTGGTGTAGGTAATTAGTGATTCAGAAGTAGTTAAATGATATAGGGGGAGTTACAGGAAGATCCGTTTCTTCGACTTTTTCAAACGAATATACCTTTTTTTTTTCGACTTTTGTAACAGATTTTTCTTTCCTTTTTTTTTTTTTCTTTTTTTTTTTTTAGGAGCAAGGTAACAGCCGATGTCAGCCGTAAGATATAATCGTGAAACTTACTGGGCCCGTGTAATACAGTAATTTCCCGTTCATTTAGTTCCATCTGGATTCAGACACACGGCTGGATTTCAACGGTTTGTGGGGTTTTCCAATTAAAAGCTACCGTCTTCACCCGAATAGAACGCCCGGTCATCATAGCTGTATTGGTGTAACTTTCGGTCTAGATACAGCTATAATGACCGGGCGTTCTATTCGGGTGAAGACGGTAGGCTTCACGATTGATAGATTTTGAAACGTCGACTGTAGAATGAGACCAGATACATCCAGGGGGGAAATCTGTAAGAAAATCAGGAAGAAAAACGATATTCAATTTGGAAACGAACTGAGGATGGCTATATTAGTTGATGCTCTTGCTTGCGTTCGCCTTTCTTCCTCTGAGGGAATACTCACCCTAGCACTTTCGATGATGTATCTGACTGCAAATTACGGGCGGATCTGGATGGATCTGACGGCGATCACGTCCAGAGCGTAGTTGAAAAGGTGCTACTGTGACTATGCCCTGAATCATGTTCCGCCTCACTGGCCTAACTGGTGGTAACTACGATAGGGGCAGGTCTGCTCCATCTGAAGGTGGGGAAGTTGTACCCTGGACCCGAGGAATCCTGTCCGCGGCGGGCGGGCGGGCGGGCAGGCGGACGCGGAGCGAGTGATATGCTTCAGGCAACTCCGAGCGGGCGGGGGAGAGGGCGCCGGGCGGGCGAGAGAGTGAGCGACCAGGCGGGCGAGAGAGAGAGCTCGCGCAGTTCACACACACACGCAGATACACAGATACACACATACACACACACACACACACACACGCCCACACACACACACACACGCCCACACACACGCACACACGCGCGCTCTCGCGCACACACACTGTCTCTCTCTCTCTCTCTCCCTCTCTCTCTCGCACTTACACAGAGAGGATTCGATCGATCGATATCGATCCAATCGATTCGATCGATCGATATCGATCCAATGGATTCGATCGATTCAATCGATCAATCATCGATCTGGTTTTCATGTTTTTCATTTTTTTGTGTGTGTGCGCAGGCGCGCGTGCACACGCACACACACACACACATTGATCAAATTAATCCGATCGATCATCGATCCTTTTTCCTTTTTTTTTTTTTTTTTTGTGTGTGTGTGTGTGTGTGTTTGTTTTTTTCCCAAGTTACATTATGACACGGTTCTTTTAACTTTTTTTTCTTTTTTTTTCTTTTTTTTAATATGACACGGAATATTTACATTACACGGACCGTTTTGTGGGTAGCCTCGCTCGCGTTTGGCATATATACAGTATGTAGCAGTCAGTCGTTGGCGCTTACCCACAACCGACCGGGGTTAAGGTCGATTATCATATCACTTACTGAGTGTAATTAGTTAGGTAGGGGACTCCGCACAGTGTAGAGGGTTCAGCCTGCCTCCTTTCTGATCAGTCAGTCGGTGAAACTCCGACGAAACAGTTTTTTGTCACAATCCCTCCTCGTTTGTGGTCCTCTTCTCCCTCGCTCTCTGCCCATACGGTTTCTCTCTTTTTTTCGAGTGGGGCAGAGGGCCCCTAGTACCTTTATTTACAGCAATAGCCTAGCAATAGGCGCGCAGCGCAGCCTGGGGCAGTTCTGTTTGATATATATATATCGTCACAAACAGAACTGCCCGGTAAACCGTAGGCAGAGAGAGAGAAGAGGACAACAAACGAGGGGCTGTGACAATATATATATATATATCGTCACAAACAGAACTGCCCGGTAAACCGTAGGCAGAGAGAGAGAGAAGAAGACAACAAACGAGGGGCTGTGACAAACTGTTTCGTCGGAGTTTCACCGACTCACAAAGATATCAGAGCGCAAAAGGCAAAAAAAAAAAAAAAAAATCAATTCATTTTTTATCTTCTTCCTTACAAGACTCCCCCTGTTCAAAACCTCTTGCGTACAAGGCCGCCCACGTGGATGTAGGTTGAGCGGCTATATGACGATATATATATATATACAAAGGCGGAAAAACAAAACAAGAAAAAGAAAAAGAAGTAAGGAAGGAAAGCCCCACCTGTTCGTCACCTCTTACGTACAAGGCCAGCCATACATATATATATCGTCATATATATATATCGTCACAAACAGAACTGCCCGGTAAAACCGTAGGCAGAGAGATTATATATACATAAAAAGATGGTGTGTGTGTTATTTGGTGTTTGACTGATAAGCCTTCCTCTTCCCTTGTCCTTTCTTTGACTGAATCCCTTTCTCTTTCTATTGGCCTCTGTGACGTTTGGTTTCCTCCTCCTTTACTTTACCTCTTTTCCTTTTCGCTGCGTGCAAGTGGGTCCTTGTAACACGCCAGTGCTCACCCTGTCATCCACGTGGCTGCCCTTGTACGTAAGATGTACGACAATGCAATTGACAACTTACTGAAAAATAAATAACAAAAAAATAAAACTACAAAAAAAAAAGAGAGAGAGAAAACAAAAACGAGAGGAAAAAAAAAAAAAAACTATACTATATTAAAATTACTTGTAATTGGTCATTAAATTGCAGTCTTAATTAGCAATAATACTAGTAATTAGGCCGTACACGCAGTACGGTAGCTCTATCTTATATATATATGCCGACATTTACGGCCGATTCTGGACGCATCTGACTGCAATTACGTCCATATAAAAGTAATAAAAAGTCCTAGTGTTAGTATTTCCTGAAGTGAGAAGTGAACTTATCCCGATATCGAGTTTGACACGTAAAACTACAGCCCAAAAATTAGCCAATCTTCAAAAAAAAAAAAAAAAGAGGCAATCTATGAAACACGACTTCTCAGTCTCTCGTTAATCACTGACAGATCGCGATTTTAACGCGGTCGTTTTTTTTTATTATTACCTTTCAACAACAGAAAAAAAAAAAAAAACAATCTTTCGGGACATCCGTTAAAATTGGAACGATACAGAGAAGATAGATTAGCATGGCCCTTGCTTTAAAAAAAAAAAAGAAAAAAAAAGAGAGGATCTGTCCTCTCACCCCTGTGCGAGGACGTTTCGCGGACTGAAGAACTGAGTGAGCTTCGCTCCACTAGTACACAACGATCTACATGTATCTGGAGTTGGTAATCGTCCAGATACATTCAAAATGTTGGCGCCCTCCTCTCCTGCACCTGGTCCAGAAAGAGTCCAAATGCATGTAGAATGTTGAGTAGTGTCGTGGTGTCGTAGTACGACAAGGAAAGTGAAGCGTAGTTGATTTCACTTCTCACGTCCAGAACAAGGGAGACAGCAGCTAAACGTACGTACATGCATGTTTTCACATCTTCCATGTATCAATGACTCAGCAAGATACGTGAAAGATGTGAAAACATGCAGTCAATGACTCAGCAAAATACGTGAAAGATGTGAAAACATGCAGTCAATGACTCAGCAAGATACGTGAAAGATGTGAAAACATGCAGAGTATGAAATTGACAGGTCGATCGGATCATAATACTGTAATTTCGATTAATCTTAGTTTTTTTTTTTTTTTTTTCAATTTCCAAGAAAATAAGATTTAACAAAAAAAAAAAAAGGCTAAATTTTACAATAAACACGTATGGGAGGAAGGCCGAGGTGAAAACCTGCACTTCAGGATGAGCCCGTCTAGGAGGGGAGAAAGGGACAGGAGAAGGGCCTTGCTCCACTGCACAAAATTCGTAATGTACCTGGATCTAGAAGTTGGTCCAATACATTCAAAATGCTCGACCAGTCCGAATGTATCTCCTCCATCACGCAGTCCCGATACGTTGACGCGACTTGGAAACCCAGATCGTCTGAGAAGCCCACCCTGTCAGATTAGACAGAAGATGGAATTTTTTATTTTTTTATTTTTATTTATTTATTTATTTTCACCTAGGCTGGTTAGACCGATGATAATCTCCCAAGGCCATCGTCCTTAGGAAAAAAAAAAAAAAAAATAGCAAAGGAAAAATAAAAAACGTCGGGAGGGGAGGAAGGGAGACGTGAAAATTAGTTAAAAAAAAAAAAAAAAAGCTGCTCTTTAGGATGAGCAATTGAGAGAAAAATACAGCTTTTTTTTTTTTTTTTTTTTTTTTTTGATAGAGGGATGCGCAGGTGTGGGCTAAGGAGAAAGGGAGAGCGAGGAGAGCACGCGAGCGCTCACAAGTTGCTGGCAGAGTCGTCCTTCCAATAGACACACAGCCGCCAGTCCCTACCTACCCAGTCGGCATCGTTCAACGAAAAATAGGACAACAGTCCTATCGCGTTATTGCATGCTAGAGAGAGAGAGAGAGAGAGAGAGTGATAGATGAATGATCAAATTTGCAATTTATATTTTACATTTGATGAGATGACAAAAAACGGAAATCGTTTTCTTTTGCAATTAATGCAAATATATTAATGCAAATATGATTAATACAAAATAATAAATAGGCACAATTGAGCAGTAGATATCTCATTTGAATAATATCTGAATTTGTTCAATCTAAGAAAGCACCTTTTCCTTCTACAGGAAGAACGAGAGCGGACAGGAAGACACGTGGACGGTAAGCGCTGCGGATGAACCGGGACGGCTATGAGGGCAGATACCTACGGTGGCTACCGGCCCAAGCGACAGCTAGCGAGCGCACGAAGGAAGAGTCATGCCACGTGGGAAATCCTGTGTGTAGAAGATCATCAGTCGCACCTTCCCGGCAGCACCGACCAGATTCGGATCGATGGCATTCGACGCAGGGATGTCGAAGGCACGTGCGCAGATGCACCGCACAGCAGCGAAGGGTACGTGCGCAGGTTAACCGAACAGCAGCGAAGGGTACGTGCGCAAGTTAACGGCAGCGAAGGGTACCTGCGCGAGGTAACGCAACAGCAGTGAAGGGTATGTGTGCGCGAGTACGATGCGCAGCACTCCTGGGCGGGACAGTGGCCACGCAAACACATATTACTCGTGCTACAAGGCCACATGCGACCGATGCATGCAGCGGCACTACCGTCTTCCCCCGAACACAACGCACCCTCATTTTGACTGTATCGGGCCGGAAACATGCCTTGCATACGTTCATTTTCAGGGTGCGTTATGTTCGGGGGAAGACGGTAGGGGCACCAATATGGCGTCCAAAACGGCTGGGGGTGAGGTCCCACTGGCAAAGAGGGTGGAATCAAGCGCCTGAATGCAGAGATGCAGAAACGCAGATCAAACACGATTTTCTGCACCTCTCCAGAGACCCGTCCCGATTGAGGCGTTACATCCAATCCGTGCTACTGGGACCTGGGCCCGGGATGGGAGAAGAAGCGGTGAGGAACAGAATTGGTGTTCTACCAGCTAGAGATAACCCGTTGGCCCCCCAAGCCAGCATTGGCAGGACCTTGGCTGATGTTGTTGGCTGCTATGCAGCAACAATATTGGCCATTAGACACCGCTAATGTGGGGTTGGAGGGGAGTAGGGGGAGGTGCAGTGACTGGCCATTGCTCGTCGCTAGCACCGCCCATTTCCC